TCAATTAGCAACTGAAATATTAGGGTTGAAGTATCGTTTTTATTTCCTCTGGACCAACACAAAGGTAGAATTTTACATCTTTATAGGGAAACAGGCAACACCTCGTACATTTCCAGCATTCTTGAAAAGAGGAAGACCCAACCTCATGCTTGTTCCAAAAGGTAAGTATCGTAATAACCTTGAGCGCATTTGATACATTTAGTTCTTGATAATGTTATTACTAAGATAAATTTAGTCTTGTTTTCATCTAGATTTTTGTGGTATGAACTCTTTGACGATATTAAACTATGTAAAGATTTAAAACCTAGACTAGTCTTTCAGGGAGCTGTTTTTGGTTTGTTTGTTTTTGAAAGTTTAAGAGCAGTATGATTTGTGCTTTCAGTTACTGAATCCACGCTTTTGTAGGTGAAATTCTTGCGACAGTCCTCACTCTGTATATGCATGACAAGCAACAGCCGTTACCAAGTCATGAAGAGGTTCTCCTTTGTAGTCCTGAAACCACTACAGAAGAGGTAGTTGTTGGAATATTTAACAATTATTCTTTTGTAAAATTTTTGCTTATATCGTTTTTGATGAAATGCCCCTTGCATAAGACACGACCACTAGATTCTGACTTCAGTCGAATGAGTCAGGAAGGAATTTTCCTCGACGTGGATGGGATGCTACGAGTTACTTGCTAATCAGCCCATATTAGTCATAACCCTTTAGGGTCATGTGTGAAGTAGCCCAAATCAGGTATCCTCCTTGTGTAGTCCAAACAATTCGTGGTATTCAAGTATAGGTGGTACTAGGTATTTTCTCATCTTTATGGTTTCCTTTGACGTAGATCGAGCTGCTGTGGAGACGAGCCATTGGGGACATGGAAGGTCGATTCTACTGCCTCGTTCATGCAGATGTATTGGACTTCTCTGTCAGCAAACAAGCAATGGACATGCTGAGGGTGGTGACGCAGGGACTTGCTGGCAAGCCTGGAGAAAGTGAGTTCAGCTTGTGATAACTACAAACCCTCTTTCTAGAATTTAGATACTGTAAGATACATAATTCACTTTCGTTAACTCTCAGATTATGGCCTGGTGGTCATCTGCAGTAGCGAGAATGAAGATCGTGCTAACGTAGTGGCAGCTCTTGATCAGTATCGTGTCGCTTCCCCACCTTGTCCTTCGCCTGAAGTCCTCAAAAAATACCTTAAGCGTCAGCTCAAGGCACCTCCTCCTCAGCACGGATTCATCGGAAGCAGTAAGATTACGTGGACTGTAGCTGGATCTTTGGATCCAGAGAGGTTAGTTTTCTTTTACAGTTTTGTAACAGGAGAACCTTTATTTGAATGCGACCTCTATAATGAGCTACTTTAGAAAAGAGGTATCCCCTCGATGAAGATGTTAAAAAAGCCTTTAAGCGCATTTGATTAGTTGAGATCAAACTCTTTGCCCCTAAAAAGTTAGGTTCCAGTGAAGTGCTAGAGCTGTTTTGTACGAAATTTTTATTATCTTTTAATGGAGATTTGTTCGGTTTTTCCGGATATTCTTTTTAGACTTTGTGTCCGAGTTGTCTCGTCTCATCGCGGAGGCATGGGAAAGACTCTGTTTGTTCGTCGCTTAACAGAACAGCTGCCTGACCTTGCAAACAATGAAATGGTTGTAACAAATTTGCGCAGCCAAGACTGCAACGCATTATTGCATGTAACTGTACCACTCCATGGGAATTCCACCGACTCATCAATGGTTGTGGATGCACTTCTGCCTCACACAGTGAAGGCCAATGTGCCACTCTCCCGGATTTTCCATGTCGACGTATCACCTTCAGTAAGGTTTTGAAATTTTCTGGGTGTTAGGCGAAATCAAGAGAGATTGAGGCATTGCTAGTGGAAAATACTTGAGAAGTGTTAGTCAGCAGCTGCATGTTCTCAGGGATGATATACTATTTTAAAAATGAGTGCGAGGGTTTCATCAGGGTTTCCAAGCACGAGAAAACTGGCGAAAGCACGAGGCCTGCGGCCTCGTGCTTTTATTGTTTTCGAGTGTTTGGAAACCCTGATGAAACCCGATGCACAAGTTTTTGAAACCGCTTCTTCAATCGCGCCTCAGGAATAGAAGAAAATGGAAATATTCACGAATTTTTCACATTTTGTCGGCAAGTTTGTTGTTTTTATTTAAATTAAGAAATAAGTTCACTAGAGTTTGACACTACATAACATTCAAGAGTTTTATTTTATATGAAACTCATGGATAGTGCATCATTCCAGGGTTTCACCGGGGTTTCAAACCACAAGCATATTACGAAATTGGCGTGTTTTGGTTGGATGATGACGTTATGAATTATAAATGAGTTTGAGAAATCTACATTTAGTATGTACGCCTTACAGTTTGATTCTCTCTCTGATAATTACTTCGTCTCCCTTTCAGATGAGACGTGGTTTAGATACACTTCTTTTTAACCTTCTGGTCCTTGGCTACCTTTGTGACAAGATGGGAAGAGTATGGAGAAGACGAACCACAGACCTGTACGTCATTGAGGTTACGACAGCAGCTCCCCTACCCACCGGACTCACCAAGGAAGAGGAATATGAAAGACAAGGGGTGGGAAAAAACCAAGTAAAGCTGTGGTTTTATAACTACTTAAGAAAAGTCTCCAGGCAGAAAAATTAACCGAAAATAATCTTTATCACGTAAATAAATCGTATGCCGCCAATTTTCACCTAGCAAAAGTAATGGCCCAAAATTACCTCAAGCAAATTGGTGGAGCTTCCACCTGGTATGGAAGGTCGTGGATGTGAATTATAAATGGTTGGCGTGCTAGTTAAAGCCCTAGAAGGGGTCGTTACACCATTTTAGTCGAGCAAAAAATTTTGCTGCATAGTGCCTCACGCAAGAGGCACTATGCAATGACAACACTGTAACCAGTGTACTTGGATTTGCCCATTGATAGTATCGGTTGTATTCTCTTTTTTCAGAGTCAATCTGGAAGATCCACTTTATCAAAACGGCCTTTCTATGATCTGTTGCCCACTGTTCACTGTAATACACCAAGAACTGTTCTGCGCTGCTTAGCAGATACTCAAGGTATTTAACAAATCAACAGTGGTTCAGCATGGTTTGTACTCTTATCGACAGCGACATTTGTCGTCGCGGTAGTCAAAACCTTGTCAATGGAGTACGCTGAACCTCTGTGGTTTTTTTTTACCACAATATCGACGTCAAGTGAACGATTTTTTCATTGCGTCACCATTGCTTGACACGTTCGCGTGAGCAGAGTTATCTGTGCTCTTATCGACAATGGTAAATTGGCCTATCAGATCGCGACAATACTGCCAATTGTTAATTGTGGTAAAAAAAGATTTATTTACGTTAATCATGATTAGTCACAGTATTTGATATTATCCCTTAGGATATTCAATTCTGTTACAGATCTAAAGGACTGCAATCCTTTGTTTGATGTCAAAGAATTTCAAAACGCACCGTTTCAGAGGGTCTATCACTATTTTAAACTGTCGACGAAAGGAAAAAGTCTGGATAATTTCACATTCCTGCCAGAAAATGTTGATGATGATCGAAAGACATGCCTTTCGCTCCTTCTCAGGTTTGTAAAAAGTAGCAGGTAGATTTTCACAACGTAATGACTTTTTCTTTTCTAATTTACATAGTTATACTTTTGATTTAGTGTTGTATTAAGAGATTGACTTAACATTGTTGTGTAGTAAAAATGTCTTTTCTTCAGAGAACTATCTACTCGATTAAGCACCGTGTCAACTGGTTGCGAACTTTACAGTTCCAGCTCCACTATTTCAATTAGTTAAGATGTTAAGATAACTACTAGGGAATACTGTTTCAAAGATGAAGACTGATTGTTATTGGCATGGCCACTGAATACTAAAATATTTTTGCAGTAACTGTGGTATTCCCGATCCTTCTTGGTCGGAGATTCGTCATTTCGTGAGTTTTTTGAACTCGCAGCTGAAGGATTGGGAAAAGAGTTTGTACTGTGACATGAAGCTGATGAGGACTATCCTAGCGGGACCTAATGTGCTGAATCTTGAAGGTTTCTGGTCGTTCGTTGTGCGCTTTATGATACAAATGTCAAGGGTAAGTGAGTTATTCAAAGATTACTGTAACCAGTTAGGTTTTTGCATCCAGGACGAGTATGGCATTACGAGTTCGCGCGTGTTCCACTTTTTGGACGACAAAGATTTTAAAATTGTCCTCATATTTTACTTTTGTTTATTTACATTTGAGTAGCTTCGTGGTGGCAGAACAACTTGAGAGTTATTTCTCGATATCGGCAAACTATGTTCATCTATAATGAAGGACACTACTTTTTCGCTTGAGGGCTGTAGTCAAGGAAATACATTTCTTCACTATTCCGATAACGCTCTAATTTTATCCCCCGAGGGGGGCTTATTAATAATGGCGTCAGGACTGACTGGAATCCTAACGGTCCTGTAGTCATGCGAGTGATTACGAGTGCTACGATTGATTACGATTAAATCGAGATTTATCAAAACTATCACAAAATTCGAGAAAGAAACTATGCGTCGGTTAGAATTTTTCACAAAAGAACAACACTTACCTCGGCGAAATGCCTGACAAAAGCGTGCGCACATGACGCGTCCTAGTACACAGTCGAATTACAAGCATGACGTGCACCTATTCTTCTTAGTGCTCAAATCGAGAATTCGGTCTGTAGTCATACGAGTGATTATGGTTTGTTAATCACTCGTATGATTACCGACCGACTGGACAACACGAAGTCCTGTTCCCAATTAATCACAACTCTGACAAAGTTTGAGAAAGAAACTAGACAACATTTAACTCGGCAAAAGGCGTGACAACAGCGCCCGCACATGACACGTTCTGTTCACTTACACAAGCATGACGTGTAAAATGTCTTGTTACATAGTCATATTACGAGTCTGACGCATACGTTTTCCAATTATATCACACAAACTCCGTCCGAAATATATGAGAAAACATAGGTATAATTCCGCTTATTTGTGCTTCGAACCACATTTTAACGCATATTAAAGCCTGTCCCCACTAGGGGACAGGTCAAAAGGTGACGCAATCCCATAGTGCCCCTGTACAAGAACATGGTCCCATGAACCTTTGCATCTTTTACTGCTGTGCTTCGATCCACACAGGTAAGTGACCTTTTAGCGTAAACTTTTCCGCTTTATTTTCCCCTTTCAGCTCTCTCTACACCTCCTCGGTAACGAGGAAAGGTTTTGAAGATATTTTCTTCAAATTAACGTGGCTTTATTAATCGTAGAATACGATGTCACGTAGAAAACGATCTCATCGTTCTCTTTCGCCACACGGCCGCTATTACGACCGCCGATCGCCGGCTCGGAGTGAGGCTAAAAGGCCCAAAACTCCCGAGAATCCGCCCGCAACGGGCGAAAATACGCTTGATTCTATCCTGCAGACCTTTCAGCAAATTCAGTCTGACATGGCGAAGACGAACGATCGGGTATCCTCAATGGAAACTCTACAACAACAACCTTCAGGTTTCGCGCCATCGCTCCTCACCTGCGACGCCGCGATTTCTCTCATGGCGCTCTCAGACAACGAGTTAGATTATGACCCCTCTCAGGCTACTGAGCCGCAGCAACAGGCTGTTAAAGCAAAACACAAGGCTAGTAAGCCATCACACGAGGCCACTAGGCCATCAAACGAGACTTATGTGTCCCATACAGTGGAGAAAACTCCTCCGAAGGAAATGGCCCCTGACAGCTCTTCAGTCATTATATGACCCTGACTCAGCCCTCTATTCATGGACCCCTCAGAAGGATTTCTCCTCCTTCTTAGAGAAGCAGTTTCGTTGGAAACTCACCTATGACCAGGTACGTGAAATTCTCGACAATTATAATATTCCAGCTGTCGACTGTTTATTTACGCCTTCCCTGGACCCTTCGGTCGCAAGTCAAATAAGCCCTCCGCAAACAAAGAGGTACGTACAGGATCGCGATAAGGAGATGGCTACGGTCCAAAGGACCTACCTTAACACAACAGGGCTGCCCTGCTCTCTTCATGATGCTCTTACCTCTAGAACCCAGGTTCCCATAGAGGACATTAAAAGCATAGTTGAGCAAACATTGTGTCTCCTTGGTTCAGCAAACCATCAAATGTCAATATTACGTAGAAAGAAAGTTCTTGCAAATATCAATAGAGATAAAATAAGTCTGGCTGATCAGCCACTCTCTAATGCCAAACTTTTCTGTTTGGAGAGGATTTCCCTGCGGTTGCTTCAAAACAAGCAGAACACTCTCGTGGCCTAGCCAAGAACTTATCGCATGCCCAAAAGCCCAAACAAACCTTCCAAAAATCTGGGAACACAAAGGACAGCCAACGCCTTGGAACCCCGGGCACTTTCTCTAAGTACCAAGCAAACCGACCAAAAACTATCGGTCCTTTCGCCCCAACAAGGGGTCTTCAAACCAAGACTCAACAACTTCCTAGATCAGTGGAAGGAAATCACCTCAGATCCAGAAATCTTAAAAGTTGTGTTGGCATATCAAATCCCCTTTCACTCTGTTCCTGTTCAGTTACACGTTCCAGTTACAACATGTTCAGATTCGACGGCTCCCCTTCTAGATGCAGAGGTGAACAAACTCCTCTCAATGGGGGCAGCAAAAGAGATCCCATTCTCCACAGAGAATTTCTACAGCAGAATCTTTCTGGTTCCAAAAAAAGAGGGAACATTTCGCCCTGTAATCGACCTTGGAGTCGTCTCAACAAGTTTGTGGAGCACTTTCATTTTCGAATGGAAAATATCTCCTGTCTCAAAAATCTCTTAAAAAAGGAGACTTTATGACATGCATAGACTTAAAGGATGCATATCTCTCCGTCCACGTACACAAATTCTCACAAAGGTACCTTTGCTTCCAGTGGAGAAACAAAACATTTGCCTTTCTAGGTCTGCCATTTGGGCTAAATACAGCCCCCAGAGTGTTTACAAAGCTAATAAAACCCATAGCTGCTTATCTACGGAAAAGAGGTATTTGAATAATCGTCTACTTAGACGACTTCCTAATCCTAGGCTCCTCCTTAGAAGAGTCAACAGCAAACACCTGGCAAACACTGACCCTTCTGCAGCAGCTGGGCTTCACCATAAATTGGGAGAAGTCCATCCTGGAGCCCGCCCTGTCATTAAAATTTCTGGGCCTTTCTATAGACTCACAGACAATGTCACTCAGCCTTCCAGAGGGAAAGATCCTGAATATACAAAACAAATGTGAACCGTGACCTTCTCCTCGACCCAACCCCTTCTGCTCGCGAAGCAGCAAGCCAGATAGGGACATTGGAGGCTGCTCGCCCTGCAATTTGGTAAGCCCCCCTCCATTAAAGATATCTACAAATACAGCTCATAAAGTCCCTACAGGTGTCTCAAGACAATTACGAGACACTAATGTCCTTGAACAGGAACGCTCAAGCAGAACTACAGTGGTTGCACCACTATGTTCTAACCGTAAACGGCAGTGCGATCAATCCTCCTCCCCCAGACCTCTACATAACATCAGACGCCTCCAAAACGGGCTGGAGTGCTTGGTGTGGGAACTTAACCGCAAACGGCCGTTGGTTGCCTCTGGAAGCTAAATAACACATAAACGTCCTCCAACTGAAAGCGGCCTATCTTGCCGTCAAAACCTTCCTCAAGGACAGGACCAACATTGTGGCATGTCTCCGCATGGACAACACTACAGCTGTAGCCCACGTAAACAACAAAGGGGGAACACGTTCCCCACAACTTGTCAGCTTAACTCTGAAACTTTGGCAGTGGTGTCTTCAGAAGTCAATCCTGATCACTGCTCAACACTTACCAGGCAAGCTCAACAGTGTAGCAGACAGAGTGTCCAGGGAGTTTTACGACTCCAGCGAATGGCAAATAGACCCACAAGTAATCCAACCCTTTATAACAAGGTGCAATGTAGACCTCTTTGCCTCTCACCTTACAGCTCTTCTCCCAACATACGCCAGTTGGAAACCAGACCCAGGGGCTTCTTACACGGATGCAATGACCCTAGACTGGACCCCTTTGAAAGGTTACGTCTTTCCACCATTCGGCCTGATAGCACCAGTCCTGAAAAAGGTCTCGCAGGACAAGGCGGATCTGGTCCTGGTAGCTCCAGCCTAGCAGGCGCAACCTTGGTGGCCAGTTCTTCTGAACCTCCTCACCAAAAAACCAATCATGATCCCGAACTCCAAATACTTGCTGAGGGACCCTGCATCCCCCTTCAGAATCCATCCGATGTATCCCAGGCTCCATCTGGCCGTCTTTCACGTATCAGGGAACAAATTCAAACAGAGGGTTTTTCAGTGGACATTACCGAAATACTCCTCTCAGCAACTCGTACCTCCACACATAAGACAGACCAGTCTGCCTAGGGGCAATGGAACAGCTGGTGTGGTAAACAGAAAGTTAATCCAGTTTCAGCAACACTAAATGATGTCCTTCTCTTTTGACTGATCGCTTTAAAAGCGTGGCTGCGTATAAGTCAGTCAATGTAGTACGTTCAGCTATCTTCTCTTGTCACCCAAAAATTGACGGCTACCCCGTGGGCCAACATCCCCTTGTTGTTCACTCTTAAAAGGAATGCAAAACATGCGTCCTCCACAACCCAGATACAAACACACATGGGATGTGCAACTTGTAACTAAGTACTTGGATTCTCTTGGGAAAACTAAACTTTTGCCCTTAAAGCTCATCTCTATCAAGCTGGCAATACTTTTTTCCCTTACGTGTCCAGAGCGAGCTTCGTCCCTAAATTGCTAAATTGGACCTCCGTTACTGCCGTGTAGCCCCCTAGGGAGTTTCCTTCACACTCACACTTCCGAGGAAGCGAGGTTCAACAGATCAGTTACCTCAAGCATTTTTTGCGTCCTTTCCTTACAACGAGAGACCCTGCCCTGTTGACACGCTCCGTGTTTACCTTAAAGTGCTACTGAAACGAAATTTTCGTATCTGAGATTTTCGCTCCAACCTGTAGTTTTGAATATGCTGACTGTCATGAGATAGTTTGCTTTGGCCAAAAAGAAGCGAAAGATATCTTTTTTAACCGTTCAAATCAAAAGTTTTACACAAAACCATGTCCGGGCTCTGGTACCGAGCGAAATGGATTGATGACGTCACTGGTTGTGTTCACTCCGATAGCGTGGTTTATTTCACTCACTGTTTGTTTGTATTCGTGGGCGAAGGAGATGGCAGATATTGAAGTTTTGTCAAGTGAATCTTCTTCTGAACGAAGCGAAGTTGTCTCCAGTAGCGAAGAGGAAGATGGTGGCGTAAAATGGGGTTGACAGGCCTACACGACTCCCAAGCGTGTGTTTAGAGTAGCCTATTCAAAGTTTAGCCCTCACGAGTATGTCTTTGAGCGACCGCCCTCTTTTGTAAGATACGAGCGGCGGATTTTTGTATAGTTCGCTCAGTAGTGGTTGTGTTTCTATTAAATGCCAGTTTTTCATGAGAATTTGCTTTATGTGTGGCACTGAGTACGCACATCAGGGATTGCGTCTTTTTCGAATCGTTCGCCTTTGTAGATGTACAGCTATTTTTTTGACTGTCTCGATCGTTAAGTTGTCTTGATTGCTTTCAGCTTGCGCCACGCGCGCTGATTCGATCGTACTACAGTTCTTAGTGTTCAGTGTTCCAGCCGTTTTGGCTCGTTTTCTTTTCTTTATTTCGGTATTAAAACGACCGATTTCACGTTCATAGAAGCACATGATCGCCTTTACTGTTTCTTGCTCCGCGTTGTTAAGGATTTGCTTTATCTCATTTTTGAAATCCTCGTCTGCTCTTATTTTGGCCCTCGCCCTATATTGTAGGGATTCTGGGCATGTTCTGCTAGGCATTTGGTACAGAGGGATTTGTTCGTTATCCTCAGACTTGCCGAGTAGATCATCTTCAGTGGCGGTGTCGTATGAGGCTTCCATGTTTTCTTCATTCTCTGAATGGCATTGCTTTGGCCCGGGGCGTTTAGTAGCCCATCTGCCGTTATAATGTCTTTCGA